CCTCCCAGTTAGCTAGCCATACCTGCTACCTGTGACCCCTTTGCCTGTGCCGTCTTCTCCCACGCAGCTGCCTGTGATGCATCCAACTACTGCCATTACAAATGCACTTCAGCTCTATGGCCTAGTTCTTTCTTAACATGTCCCAAGAACCAGAGACTAGGGCATCCAGCAAGCAGGTTCAAAAACTTGGCTACTGGAATCCGTAAACAATCCAGACAGGACACAGTTCCCAATGGAACTACCACACAATACTTTATTTATACTCAGGACTAGCACCTATCGGCATTACCTTACACTTATGGTTACACACTCAATCCAGTACATGAAACATGATCATATAGGGAATCATACAGACACTCATAACACAATGCAATATTTATAACCAGTGGGGAAGGCAAACAGTAACGAGAAATACATCCCCTACCTGCCTAAACCATAACATGCATATCTACCTGAATATTTAACAAGCCTTGCTATTCAGGTAGTGCACATAACTCTTGAAAGATCTTCACAATCAACAGGTGGTGCTGTACAGGTTCCTCAGCCAAATCCACCTAGTTGGTAGAGAGCATCAACAGGACAGGAGTGCACACAGGACATTTGACAAATAGCATAACCATGATACATGCCGTGCAACTATAATAGTCACAGAGTTTCTAAAACATAAGCAACATCTGGGGAAACACAAGCGGTGGCAGATATACAGAAACCCACAGTTCCATAACTCCCAACAGCAATCCCAGTAACTCATAATCCCAGTGGAGCAAGTCTTTGGATAATGTAGGTCACCAGTTAAAATATCTGCCAGAGGGAAGGGCCACTGTCAGAGGCTATCTGTGTTATGGTTCCTTTCCCCTCTACTAAGAGAGACCAGGATGGATGTGACATGACCTTAAATCATCTCTCTGATCTTATTGAATACAATATTTAATAGAGCCAGCATCTTATAATCAACTATCCTCGTTCCTGCTAAACACAAGGGACGTAGCCACCCTGGGCTGAAAGGGCTATCACAGTCATTCTCCTCTCCTCACCACACTTTGCATGACTTTTTTTCACTATTCCACACATTGCACAAATTATTAATATAATATTCTGAATTGGAGAATTGTTCATTCTCTGCAAATTTGTCAATTTACTACAGTTTTGAATTTAGGGAATAAACCATGCAATCTCTAAAAAATAACCTTTTAGCTAAATGCTATGTTAATTTTTGTTCCATTTCTATTCCCAGCGCACACATCCTCATACAGTAAAACAGCAGGAGTAGAATTTTGGTATTACAGGAATTCTGCCATTTTTCAGTTTTCTTAAATTTGCATTGGAGTCATTAAACATGATTACGACAAACAGCAGGAACCGCACTCCTCGGTAAAACAGTATCACGACTTTTATAAATGATAATGTAGATTTGTCAATTTATTTAGATTTGTAATACAATGTGAAATATGAAATACCCAACCCAACAGTAGTTGTGTCAGACGCTACCATCCTATGGCCTTTTGGAGAGGCTTGTAGGCCATGCGCTTGCCCACAGACTATGGGCTTGGTCCCAAGAGACTCTGAAAGGGGCTTGTGATGGTAGCAACTGAAAAAAAAACTATACATTGTTAGTTGTGAATTCAGCAGCATCCCCTGTTGACTGAATAGACATGTGTATTTTGATTGTTTGTGTCAGGTTCACCATTGTGCTTTACACAATATTGTGTATTTGGGTCTGGTTGGGATCAAACCTGAGTTTCCTGCATCCCAGTCGGTATCCTTGCATTGAGCTCCACGCATCTTTGACTGTTTCTGGTTGTTCTTGGTATCCTGTAGTCTGAGCCTGTACCTGGAATGTGCACACCTGTTCCTGGTTCCTTGATGATTGGCTGAGACTCCCTATTTAAACCCCGCAAGGCTGGTTCTCGTGGTCAGATCGTGTTTCCTGTTCCTGTTTGGTTTCACTGCTGTTCATCTGACTCCTGCTTTTGATCTCCTGCTCGTCTACTGTTTTCGCCTGATTGCCGCCCGTCCTGACTTCTGATTCTGATACTGACTACTCTTCTGGATATCCTTTGTCTGTACTGCGTTCCAGGAAGCACTGGTTATTTCAGCCCCAGTGCACTGTGTCACAGCCTTGGGGATTTCTGTCCTGAGTCCCCTCGGTCTGTGTCGATTTGCAAAGGGTGCCTCAACTCTGCGTGCCGGACTCCCACTTCAGGTAAGATCCTTGACAGTACGATCTGACCAAATGGAGTCTGCAGAGTTGAAGATTACCGTTGCAGCCTTGACCAAGCAAGTTTCCCAGCTCACCCAGGCTTTGCAGGGCTTACAGCAGGAGCTGGCTTCCCTTAAAGGGAGAGTAACCTATGACTCTGGACTCTCTGAACCGCTGGTTGCTCTACCCGAGAAATTTTCTGGGATCCGGTCTAAGTATGATACCTTCAAAGTTGATTGCGAGGTCCTGTTCTCCCTGAGACCACTTACCTATGCCACAGACGTCATTAAAGTGAGGACAGCGATTACCTTATTGTCGGGGCACCTTAAGATCTGGGCCCACCAGTTGTTACTCGCCAAAAGCCCAGTCCTAGATTCCTGGGAGTCCTTTATTCGGTCCCTGGGTTTACAATGCAACAAGACACAAAAGTCATATGTACATAGATCATCTACTGTTGCTTCACACATATTGCAACCCGGACTGGAAATGGACTACACTACTCCTTTCACTCGGACTGATGTTACAGCTAACCCTACCGCTCCCAAGTCTCCCGAAACATCGTATAAATCTGGCAGGGAGGCGGAGGAACCCATGGAGATTGGACTGGTTAGGTTCCGTCAGTCATCTCAAGAAAGGGCAAGAAGGATGGCGCATGGACTGTGTTATTATTGTGGGGAGATGGGACATTTAATATCTTTTTGTCCCATTCGTCCATCTAGGTCTCGGGTTCTCCGTCTGGGTACTACTCTGGCATATCCTATGAGACCTGTCTGCCAACATGCTGCCTGTCCTTGCTTGACCACTCTGTCCAATCCTCAGCCTTCTACAGTCGTTGCTCCTGAGGTTGTGCAGGAATCTGTTACTAAAGAACCTGAGATCTCTATTTCTACTAAAGATTCTGCTTCTAAGAAGGCAAGCACCACAACCACTACAAGTCCTGTCAAGGAAGACCCTCTTTCTGGCTGTACCTATGCCTCTAATGGGACTCTAGTCCGGAAGGAGGACTTGCAAGTATTTGAAAAGGCCCTACAAGCTATGACCTCTGCTCCTACTAGTACCACCAAAGCCAAGAAATCCAAAAAGTAACCTCCTGGGTCGTAAGATGCATTCCTCTTCTCGCCTACGGCGTCTTTGAAGGGGAGGTAATGTCAGGATCACCATTGTGCTTTACACAATATTGTGTATTTGGGTCTGGTTGGGATCAAACCTGAGTTTCCTGCATCCCAGTCGGTATCCTTGCATTGAGCTCCACGCATCTTTGACTGTTTCTGGTTGTTCTTGGTATCCTGTAGTCTGAGCCTGTACGCCTGGAATGTGCACACCTGTTCCTGGTTCCTTGATGATTGGCTGAGACTCCCTATTTAAACCCCGCAAGGCTGGTTCTCGTTTTCAGATCGTGTTTCCTGTTCCTGTTTGGTTTCACTGCTGTTCATCTGACTCCTGCTTTTGATCCCCTGCTCGTCCCTGATTGCCGCCCGTCCTGACTTCTGATTCTGATACTGACTACTCTTCTGGATATCCTTTGTCTGTAGTGCGTTCCAGGAAGCACTGGTTATTTCAGCCCCAGTGCACTGTGTCACAGCCTTGGGGATTTCTGTCCTGAGTCCCCCTCGGTCTGTGTCGATTTGCAAAGGGTGCCTCAACTCTGCGTGCCGGACTCCCACTTCAGGTAAGATCCTTGACAGTTTGTCACCATATGTTCAAGGACTAGTCCCTAAAGGTTAGTTCTTTTTAAGATAAAGAATTGTATGCTAGTTCCATTTGGAGCTGTTTGTCCTGCTGGATTTGTTCAGGGATCCAGGAACAGAGTCTTTGGAACCTGTTGACTGTATGCATTGTCCCTGTAGCCCGAGACAATTCAAAAAGAGCTTGGCCTGAGAGCAACAAGTGTCTTTATAAAGGCAGGAGCTAATCACATTGCAGGCAGAGTTGTAGATACATGCCTGGAGGAAGAGAGTTGCAGCCTGGTCAGGTAGAAGAGCTCCAGAGAGACCCCAGTCAAGCTTCTGCAACTGCAGGTTAAAGCGTTCCAGGGTCTGTGAATGTAGCTAGGAAGTGGACTGGGCAGAGATACTCGGTCAGAGTACTGGAGCTCTGTCACAGTAGTAATGCAGGATGAGAGAGATAATGTTACAAATAGCTACAGAGTAGGGAATTCTGACATTCTAGATGAACCGATCCAGAAACCCAAAACTAGGGATGGAGTAGGTAGTAGTAACACTGCAAGTATATATCTTTAATACAATAGCAATTACATTTATACACAATAACAATAAAAAGCATTATGAATTTATGAGTACTAGAGCAATATTCACAAATGGAAAAAAAAATGCTGTAGTTTGAAATTGCAAATGGCGTTCTGATTGCAAGCAGTATTCCTAGAAGATTAAAATCATTGACCGCCTGCATAAACATATTAGATGGTTTGATGACAATTAAAGATTAAACAATCTTAAAATGAAATAGATATTCAACCTGCCATTGCATAAAGTGCCAGAAGCTTTAAATGATGAATTACATTTCCATTAATTTGTATAATTCATATAAGTGCTCAGAATAATTTAAATGAAGTTTCAAGAATCTATAAATTGACTAGAATATGATTTGTAATATGTATATAATTTATTTAAGCAAGACAATTCATGCATGGCAGTACTTAGAAACAGACATAATTCTAACACGACTAATGTTATATAGGAATGGATATATCACTCTTGTATTAAAGTGGTATTAAAGAAACACTCTAGATAACAAAACCACTACAACGCACTGGAGTGGTTAAAGGACCACTATAGTGCCAGGAAAACATACTCGTTTTCCTGGCACTATAGTGCCCTGAGGGTGTCCCCACCCTCAGGGACCCCCTCCCGCCCGGCTCTGGAAGGGGGAAAGGGATAAAAACTTACCTTTTTCCAGCGCTGGGCGGAGAGCTCTCCTCCTCCGATCCTCCTCTTCTCCGCCCCGTCGGCTGAATGCGCACGCGCGGCAAGAGCTGCGCGCGCATTCAGCCGGTCACATAGGAAAGCATTCATAATGCTTTCCTATGGACGCTGGCGTGCTCTCACTGTGAAAATCACAGTGAGAAGCCGCATAGCTCTAGCGGCTGTCAATGAGACAGCCGCTAGAGGAAATAGGGGAAGGCTTAACCCATTCATAAACATAGCAGTTTCACTGAAACTGCTATGTTTATGAAAAAATGGGTTAACCCTAGAAGGACCAGGCACCCAGACCACTTCATTAAGCTGAAGTGGTCTGGGTGCCTAGAGTGGTCCTTTAAGGTGCCAGGAGTAACCTGGTGCCCCTCCATTCCCCCCATTGTAAAGAGCCAAACTGTTTTTGACTTTTTTTAATTCTTACCTGGAGTCCACGGAGCGCCACTCCCTGCTAAGAGATCGAAGTTTATAAATATTGGGACTGTCACCTATAAATATCCTATAAACACATTGTATCCATTTGAAATATTTAGAGGATATATTTTTCTACAGCTATATTTATATGCTACCAGTGGCAGAAGGGAAATTCTTATTTCAGCTACAATCCCAACAATTCCACTGTGCCATCACTGTTCTGGAGGCCATCCCAATTTGTTTTTTATTGGTTATACTGCTGGGATAAAGATCGGATCTCTCGCTGGCTGATACCCAGAGCAAAAAGACCCATGTTAATATAATAAGGCATATATAAGGCAGGAAATAAGTGATAGAATGTCATTCCAAATGCTAAGGGGAGCAGGAAGCCAGTACATCTGGGGTGCATGGTGCTTAGGTTTTTTTTTTTATTTTATTTTTTTAAATCTCACCCATTCCTAGTCACCTACTCTTAAATAAGCTTTTTCTACACTCTTTACTGTGCCCTGTAGTCATTCCTATGGCTTGAGAGTCTGTTTATTCTGTTATTGATGTTCCTGTTATTTGACCCTAGGTCTTTGTACCTTCTGTACTTCTGATCGTGGCTCTTTTTCTCATTTTGTTGCATCTCTGGTACCCCTGGCATCTGCTTGTTCCTGACTCTCCTCCACCTATCTTTAGATGTTTCTCATCAAAAGTTTGCCTTAAGTCCAGCCACCCTTCCCTTCATTCAATTTTCTTGGTCATATGGGATCAGTTCAACCTGAAACTTCTAGAGTTCTCCCTTTTTATTGCACAATGAATGCGGTTTTACCTTTGCTTCTATGCTATTTTGAAATTATTCCTTGTATCTATAAGGCAAAACTTGGAAATAAAGAGGTTTAAAAATTCACTGTTGACAAGCAACTGAATTACTTGACATTGTGTTTTACAGAATCACTATAAGTCCAATATGTGGATTTAATGATCTACACTAATCAAACATTTCCTTTCAAACTTTTTTAATACTAATATATATTGTATTCTAAAAACATTTATTTGTATGCAATACCTAGATAAAGAGACAGAGATACATGGTGGAGGAGAGCAAAACACGAGGAAGACAAAAAAAAAGATGTAATAAAGAGAGTGGTGGTGTGCTGACAAACGACTGTCTGGATGTGAAAAAAGACTGAGTGAAATAAAAGAATCAATGGAAGACAGGTGGGTAGGAGATGCAGAGAACTAACTTTATTACATGCCAGGTGAACTCAAAAAACTAAAATATATTTTTTCCCGAAGATTAATTTGAAAACCGATTACGCACCAAAGATGGAAATATAAAATGCTTGCTATGGTTCAAGTGTAAAATTACTTTACTGGAACATTTAAGGTTAGAAGGATTATATAACAATTTTTTCCCTCTATGCCAAAAGCAGATTACATTTAACACAATGACTGCAAGCATGTTATTGTTGGATCCCTGTCTGTGTTCTAAACATTCAGAAAAATGATTCACATTAATCTGTTTCTACTCCTTTTGATTTAACCACTGAATAGTTGAGTGCTGAAGACATTAGATGACAGAGTTGCACAGTTTAGGTCAAAAGTAGTTAAAATGTACTACTTTTACCTAAATTATTCATTTTTTCATTGAAAGGACTTTCTAAGCAGAATGATCCAAGGAGATATCTGATTGTCGTTATGTAATCTGGAAGAAGCTTTCCCTTGTTTGTGGCACAATTGAAAATGGCCGCCAACTGTTTTTGGTTATTTTTTTGCCTTCTTTAAGATAAACCAGAGAAACAGATGTATGAAAGATTGAACTGGATGGACTTGTTTCAAGCTAGATTACTATACTACTCTGTAACAACTATAGTATCCTTCAAAGGAACATCACAGTAACTACAGTCAAGGCAACAAAATCCCTACAGTGCACTGTAGTGGTCATGGTACAAGGAGTCCCTTACCTCAACCCATAGTAAGTAGTCAAACTGTTTTCAAATAGTTCTACACTTACCTGGGTCCACCCTAGCTCTTCCAGTCTGGCCTATTCCTCTGACTTATCTTAATCAGAAGTTCCCTTTTTGCAAAATATTTATTTTTGCCCATGTTTGGGTGAAATGTATTGTGTAAGAGATGATGCTCCTATTTATATTTTCAATTTTATTTTAGTTAATTTACAAATCTACCTAAATATGGGAGGAAATGACGTTACTAATGCAAACGTATGAACTTTTGAAAAATGACCCAAGTAAAGAAGTTGGACAGCAGATGTCACGCCATGGGTGCATAATTCATTGTTGCACAATAGAATATTGCCATTTAATGTAATTTCTGTAGTGCAGATATGAATTAGTTGCAAGGTCAGATGACAGAAGGGATAATGTAAATGGTATAGGCATGTGAAAGAGGGCAGATGGTTTGCAACATGGATTGATACTTTTATTAAGCAGAGTGTGAGATTCTACACTTGAGATGCCTGGTCTAGTTCCAATGTAAACTAGATGGCTTGAGCCATATAGCCCATACCTCCTAATTGATTAATTGATTCCTTTGATATGTTATTGGCCATTAGCCTTGTGTTCCAGTATCATATCCAAAAGAAACATTAATACTTACCCACAGATGAATAATTAAGCCTAATTTTTATTATATTTAGAATGGGACAAAAACAATCTTCTAAGCAAGCCTAACATGATTTGCGTAATTTAACCATAGGGGAAGGGATTGGGTCACAAGTAAGGAGTATGACATATCTATGGAATGGAAAAATGGTAACAGATTCATAGTTGCAATTATTTCTGTGGCAAGTACATAAAAGGAGATAGAACCAAATAGTTAAATTTGGATTGCTGTTGGTCTGGAACACAAGGGGATGGTCACTTATAGTTACTATAGATACACCTTATCTCCACCTGGGCAAGGCTTTGTAATCCACAGGGTATAAATCTAATGATACTAAAGTGTCTATTGTACTTGCTTGGGGCCAAAATCTAATTTTGAATGAGCCACCATATTCCTTCTCAGAGACCCCCTGGGCAGAAGTTTTACTTTGAAAACCTGAGTAAGTAATTAGGACTTCTGTTATTTTATCCTTTTTTTGTTTTTGTTTTTATCTGTTGTTGGTGTAAATAATTTGCTTATCATCTACTTTTTTGTGTGCACTGTGACTATATTTGCTCATAATAAATATTCCTTTATTAAATTCTGCCTTTGTCTGGTAAAGAATCACGTTACCTGAAGAGACTGAGTGTTTTTCACTTGCATAGGTATTGTGCTCAGTTGTTTCTATTAAGTTACCTGGGGGACCAAGGCACCCCATTTATAAATTGTCTTGGTGGTGGCAGCGTTAAAATAGTAATGGTTATATTATTATGTTTAAGTGTGGGTGGTGTTAAGGGGGATTTTTATTATTATTTCTGGTCTAATGCAGACAAATAGTGAAATGTAACCATTTCACCACCACAACTACAGTAGGGTGTGTTTGTGACAGCAGACGCTTATTGAACCCAAGTACCACAGAAACATAGAACGTGATAGCAGATAAGAGCCATTCAGCCCATCTAGTCTGCCCAAATTTCTAAATATTTTCATTAGACCCAGGCCTTATCTTAAAGCTAGGATAGCCTTATGCCTATGCTACACATGCTTAAACTCCCTTACTGTGTTAACCTCTACCACTTCAGCTATTCCATGCATCCACTACCCTCTCAGTAAAGTAATACTTCCTGATATTTTTAAAACTTTGTTCTTCTAATTTAAGATTATGTCCTCTTGTTGTGGTAGTTTTTCTTCTTTTAAATATACTCTCCTCTTTTACTGTGTTGATTCCTTTCATGTATTAAATGTTTCTCTTTGTCTTGTCTTTCCTCCAAGCTATACATGTTAGGATCCTTTAACCTTTCATGGTTTTACCCTGCAATCCATGAACCAGTTTAGTAGCTCTTCTCTGAACTCTTTTCAAATTGTCAATATTCTTCTGAAGATACGGTCTCCAGTACTGCGTACAATACTCCAAGTGAGGTCTAACCAGTGTTCTGTACAATGGCATGAGCACTTCCCTCTTTCTACTGCTAATACCTCTCCCTATACAACCAAGCATTCTGCTAGCATTCTCTGCTGCTCCTTTAAGTCTACCTTTAAGTCATCTGAAATAATTAACCAAAGAGAACGTTACTTGCACTCTGGCCTAAATCCCTATGTACATTTAAACAAAATGGAGGCTCTTTATAAAATGTGAAAGGGTTTATAAAATACCTCTTCCTGTCTCACTGAAGATTCTTGGCTGATCTCAGCAAATCTAATGGCTAGTGTAGGACTCGCCAATTGGGGCTTGCCTTGACGTGGCAGGTGAGCTTATATTCAAATGGCCATTGGAATTAAACTAAAGAGCCACCATTTTGTTTAAATGTACATAGGGATTTAGGCCAGAGCGCAGGTAACATTCTCTTAGTTTTTTATGTATTTTGAGCTCTTGGATCCTAAGCTACTGCTGCTGTAAGCATGGTGCTTTATCTTTGGGTTTGAAATAAATAACCCTAAATCCCTTTACTCAGATGACTGTATCAAATATTCTACACTCTACCCTTGGATGTTTATGTCCAAGATGCATTAGCTTGCACTTATCTACATTAAATGTCAGTTGCCACAACGCTAACCATTTTTCTAGTTTACTAAATTAATTT